TTTGAATATTTCAGGGTTTTTGTTAAGTAATAAAGTTTTATCAACCCATTTGGATGTGTGGTTAATTAGCCTGCCCTAATTCCTGAACACCCATTTCATTAGATCGGTGTCCAGTCTTTTCAGTGATCAATTGCTCGTCCACTCCAGCTTGATATAAACGAGTTGCAGCTGTGGTACGAAGGGAATGATTACTAAAGTTTCCAATTATACCAGCCGACTGACATAAACGTTTAACAGTGGACTGTATGGTATGAATTCCTACAGGAGAATCACAGTACCAAACATCAGAGCATGGCATCTTTTTGAGACGCAGATAAAATGCATCTACTGTACCGTTTTTTGGACGCAAAGCTATACCACCTTGGTTTGTCTTTGAAACATCTTCTATGTACTGCAAATATTTTTTACCTTCTAAGTCATACTTAACAGACAATGGAGTGTTCATACCAAACCTTAAATTCCCGTGTTCTTGAGCAGCTCGCAGTGCAAAATGTAATCCAAACAAGAAAAGAAGAGTATCCAATATCTGCTGTGGGTTACTTTCACCTAACAAGCCTTTACTCCATAAAATCTCTTCTTGTTCTATTGTAATAACTTCTGACTTCTTGGTATTAATACCCAGTCCAAGTATCGACAACTCCTTCATTTTACTGTTCAGAACACTTCTTAAACCCTGATATTCTTGATCATCCATAAAGGCTATTAAACGTCCATTCTGACGAAGGTAGTGCTGTATAGATATAATAATCTCATACAAAGTATTTGGTTTATTATTATCACCGGATTCCTTACGCACTTCAGCTATAAAAAAGGAAAGTGCCTCATTCAATTCTTGACTGGAAAGATTAAATAAACCTTTTTCTTCAGAGTTATTATTGTTTCTGTGTTTCTTCCACATACTAAACAAATTAACTGCCCATCTAGTTTTATTTTCAGTTTTGATACTAAGACCACTTTTAACCAAATTCTTTAGATCAGAATCGTCCAGGGGCTTGGAAAACCTCAGTGAAGTCTTGGCATTTTCTGGCAAATTTGGTGTTTCAACATCGCTTATATCAGAGTACTTCAAATCAAAGTTTGGTAGCTGTATGGCTTCTTTTACATAATTTTCCTCCAAATTCAGAGCATCACTAAGAACAGTATCCGTTTCTAAATTATAATCATCTATTTCACAAGTCTTTGTTTGAGTAATAAATATATCATCATCACTAGAACCTGACATCTTGACACTTGAAGCATCAACTATTCAATGAATGAATGCATGCATGTTTAAAAGTGTACATTCTTAAAGTAACAACTGTCTTAAAACAACATTCAGTAGTGAGCTGTGTGCATGCTCATTTAATGTTCAAAAAGATTACATTCTTAAAGTGATATACATTGAGTCTCTCTCACAAACAAAATTTACTCACAGATACTATGTTTTAAGACAGATAAAGGCCGAAAACTGTACTTTCTGTCAACAGAGTTTTCGGCCTTTATCCCTTACGTAAAACTTAAGCGTTGCATTAAAATGTTCCTAACAACACACAGTAATAATTTTATCTTGACATATAAGCTAATTCAGCTACGTTTAATAAAAAAATACATTGTATACCTTTAAATTCTGTATACTACGGAAGCGCCCTGTGGTTCATATTAACCGAAGAAAAAAATAATTATATTATCATTAATTTTAACTAACAATGTCGAAATTAAACCGATTGATTATTTAATTTCGACATACTTTTCTCGAAATAAATTATATTCATTTAATTTCGACATACCTTTCTCAGAATTAAATTATATTCATTTATTTTCGACATACTTGAAAAATCATAAGATTTAAAATGTTTTGATTGTTATGAGGCATTGTCTTTCGAAATGCGTTCAGTCTGTAGCTTGTAAATACTCGAGAAGGCACAATTCTTAACGATTTTGATGAAACTTGGTGAAATTGTTTAATATCACCGAACGATGAACCCTATCACAAGTATAATTTATAGCACAAGTTTTATGAGTTAAATTATTGAAGTCACGAGGGGGCGTAGCCCCCGAAGTGTCTTCAATAATTTAACTCATAAACGTTCTATAAAATACTTGTAACATATTGATTGACAGGTGACGTAAGTGAATTGTTCTTAAAAACTACACGTGCATAACGAGCGGCGAACATATAAAAATAGGTCATCAACACCTGTATACATCAGTTGATATATTTCAATTCGCGACGTAGAGACGCAATGTCGCAGTGTTTATTTAATGATAACGACGATGAAGATATTATTCTTTCAAAAAATTTAGACGATATAGAAAAGGAATTGACAGTGAAAAATAATATTGAGAAAGATGTGGATTACGGCGAATTGAACCTTATTTCTACTGCAGATGGAGAAAGAATCTGATTGTGGTGAATTTAACGTAATTTCTACAGCCGAGGAACAAGTTAAAGAGGAAGTGAAATCGGTTGTGGTTGAAAGGTTTCAAACGCAAGTATCTCAGTTTGAAATAGACACTTTAATACATTCACAAACAAATGCTAATACCAGAAAGAATACTAAATGGTCACTAAATATATTTAATGAATGGCGGAAATGTCGATCGAAGGGTGATAATGATATACCTGAATTGCAAGATATGACAGCAGAAGAATTAGATTATTGGTTACAGCGATTTATTGTAGAATTGCGTAAAATGAACGGAGATGAGTATTCCCCTAAATCAGTTTATTATATCATTTGTGGGCTTATGAGACACTTGAAGGACCATAATATTTCCATTAACATTCTGGAGGAAGCTGATACACGTTTTCTGTTAACCAGAAAGGTGTTAGATGCCAAGATGAAGGAATTAGTAAGCCAAGGAGTCGGTTGTAAACCGAAAACAGCTGACCCCGTATCAAACGAAGATGAGTATAAGTTGTGGAATTCTGGTGTCTTTGGTTTTACCAACTCAACGAGTTTACAGTACACAGTATTTTTTTACGCATGTAAACTGTTTGGACTACGAGGAAGAGATGAGCACCGCCATTTAGAAGCTGACCAGTTTGAATTGGGTAATGATAAAAATGGTTATTACATACGATACATAGGAAGAAACAACAAAACATTTACTGGTGGTCTAGCCCATTTGAAGTTAAAGAACAAAGATATAAAGCATTATTGCACTAATTAAGTTCTAAAACCTGTATAATAAAATAATCAAAGTAATCACAAGGTTATGACGTATCCTTATCAAAGTGTAGACTGTAGAAATTTTAAAGGGATAATATGCGAGATTTTTGACAAAATTACTCATTCTGACTTTTATGGCCTTTTTAGTCACATTATGAAATATGTATGCTGTCTGACAATTGGTATCCTTTATTTCTTATATTTGTGTATTTTAGGTCAAAGATGTTTATGTACAGTATTTAAAACCTATTTAGACGCGATAGAATCCGGAATGTTTTATAGAAAGCCATTACAGAATGGCATAAGATACGGAAAGCAGCCTGTTGGGATTAATAAATTAGGTAATTTCATTAATGAAATGTGTCAACAAGCTGGTTTAGTCGGACATTACACTAACCACTCCGGTAAGAAGACCTGTGCTACTGAAATGTACCGCAATGGACAAGATGAACAATCCATCATGGAACGCACAGGTCATAGATCTGACGAGGCGTGTAGGGTTTACAAAATTAAATCCGACGAGTTGCAGAAACAGGTTTCAAGTGTTTTGGAGGCGCCAATAAGTGCTAAAGAAAGTAGTGAACCTGTTTCTAAAAAAGCGAAAATTTCGGTTTCCTCACCCCCACTGAAGGACACACGTTTTAACGAATTTATCAACACTGCGACCAGTACATTTCAATAATTGTAAATTTACTTTTATGTAAAGAAATACTGTTTA